GTGCTGAGTACTGAGAATAGGCAGAGGGCAAGGAGCACCAGGCCCTGAATTCAAAGGGCTTCCAGTCCTTGTGGGACCCAGGGAAGGATCATACAGTGGTTTGTGCTTGTTTTTTTGCAATCCATCAGATCCAACTTTTATTTTTATTATTCTTTTTTTAAGAGATGGGATTTGCTCTGTGTCTCACTGCAGCCTTGAGCTCCTGTGCTCAAGGAATCCTCCCATCTTAGCCTCCCAACTCCATGGGACTGCAGGTTTATGCCACTGGCTAACTAAAAAACAACTTTTTTAAAGATGGGGTCTCACTATGTTGCCCAGGCTGGTCTCAAATGCTTGGCCTCAAGTGATACTCCTGCCTCAGCCTCCCAAAGTGCTGGGATTACAGGCATGAGCAACCACGCCTAGCAAATCCAAATTTTAGTCCCACCAAAGCATGATGTGCTGGGCGTAGAGGCTCAGGCCAGGTTCAGTGGCTCACGCCTGGCACAGTGGTTCACACCCATAATCCCAGCACTTTGGGAGGCCACAGTTTGAGACTAGCCTGGCCAACATGGCAAAACCCCATCTCTACTAAAAATACAAAAATTAGCCAGGAATGATGGCGCATGCCTGTAATCCCAGCTACTGGGGAGGCTGAGGTAGGAGAATTGCTTGAACCCAGGAGGTGGAGGTCGTGGTGAGTTGAGATCGCACCACTGCAGTTCAGCACTCCAGCCTGGGCAACAGAGAAAAAAAAAGCATGATACAGACTGATATTAAAAAACCCACAAAACGAGAAAAAAAACAACAACAAATTTTAGTCTGAGATCTGCCACTTACTTGCCACTGGCTTTGGGTGTGGGCATTGCTTCTCTGAGCCTGTTTGCCTATGTGAAATAGGGGTAACAGTGGTGCCTCCAACCCAGGGTTGCTATGGGTTCAGTGAGCCCATTGTCATGAGTGGGGAGCTGGGTCTGGAACAGGGTGGGCTGGCCTGGCTTCTAACCCCAGGGACATTTCATTATCATGAGATGCTACCTGCACAACTCTGTGTAAGTGACTAGTAATGGGGTAGCTTGGGAGGTGCTCAAATTGCGGCCCCCTCACCATCACCAGAAGCTGTGGGAGCTCTGGACATAGGGGATGACTTTCAGCTGGGGAGCTGGGGACCTGGAGATCAAGGAAAGCTTTCTGGAGGAGGAGGCACTGGAGTCAGGCCATTGCAATTGACTGGGAACATTCACTGAGATTAATCCATGAATGAAATGTTGGACAGGAGACAAAGTTAAGCAGACATGGGTAGGAGAGTGGTCCTGGCAGAGGCAGGAGTGTGGACAAAGTCAAAAAGTAAACTGCATGAGCCCAGAAACAGCCCAGGGCAGCAGCAAGTCGAGCAGAAATTCCAGAGCCCTTATGCCACCATGGGAGGGAGGACATGGGAGAACCGACACCAAAGCCAGTGGCTGGAATGCAGGGGGCATATTTCAGCATCCCGCAGCACCCCAGCTGCCTGGTAAGTAGTGAGATCCCTGTGAAGAATGTTTGCTTTATATTTTTTCCTTTAGTTTATTTTTAGGGGTTAAAAAAATGTAGTTTTCTTTTTAACATTGCAAAATAAATAATACCTGCTCAGTAGAACTGATTAAACAGTCTCCCAGAGGATAAAGTCAAAGGAATGTTAATTTTAGTTTCAAGATTCAGTCAGATGAGGTTCCGGGCACCGTGGCTCATGCCTGTATTTCCAGCAATTGGGAGGCCAAGGTGGGAGGGTTATTTAAGGCCAGGGGTTCGAGACCAGCCTGGGCAACATAGCAAGATCCTCTCTCTACAAAAAATATATAAAAATTAGTTTGGAAGGCCAGGTGCAGTGGCTCACATCTGTAATCCCAGAACTTTGGGAGGCCAAGGTGGGTGGATCATTTGAGGCCAGGAGTTTGAGACCAGCCTGGCAAAGATAGTGAAACCCCTCTATGAAAAATACAAAAAATTGGTCAGGTGAGGTGCCTCACACCTGTAATCTCAGCACTTTAGGAGGATGAGGTGGGTGGATCACTTGAGGTCAGGAGTTCGAGACCAGCCTGGCCAACATAAAGAAACCACATATCTACTAAAAAAAGAAATACAAAAAAGTTAGCCAGGCATGGTGGCACACTACTGTAATCCCAGCTACTTGAGGATGAGGCAGGATAATTGCTTGAATCTGGGAGGTGGAGGTTGCAGTGAGCCAAGATCTTGCCACTGCACTTTAGCCTGGGTGATGGAGCAAGACTCCATCTCAAAAAAAAAAAAAAAAAAATTATCTGGGTGTGGTGGTGCATTCCTATAATCCTAGCTACTTGGGTGGCTGAGGCATGAGAATCACTTGAACCCAGGAGGCAGAGGCTACAGTGAGCCAAGATTGAGCCACTGCACTCTAACCTGGGTGACGGAGTGAGACTGTGCTAAAAAAAAAAAAAAAATTAGTTGAGCGTGGTGGTGTGTGCCTGTAGACTCACCTATTCTGGAGGCCGAGGCAAGAGAATTGCTTGAGACTAGGAGGTCAAGACTGCAGTGAGCTGTGATTACGCCACTGTGCTCCAGCCTGGGCAACAGAGGGATACATGGTAGCTTTAAAAAAAAATCAAATGAGGGTTAAAAGGAATCAATAGTTGGTTTCTAAAAGCCCCCTCCTAGGCCGGGTGTAGTGGTTCATGCCTGTAATACAAGCACTTTTGGGATGCCAAGGCAGGTCGATCACTTGAGGTCAGGAGTTCAAGACCAGCCTGGCCAACACGGTGAAACCCCATCTCTATTAAAAAAAAAAAATTTAAATTAGCCATGTGTGGTGGCATGCACCTGTAATCCCAGCTACTCGGTAGGCTGAAGCAGGAGAATTGCTTGAGCCTTGGTGGCCGAGGTTGCAGCGAGCTGAGATTGAGTCACTACACTCCAGCCTGGGTAACAAGAACAAACTCCATCTCAAAAACAAAAACAAAAGCAAAAGCCCCCTCCTACTTTGAGGTACTCATCTTTGAGGGGTCAGCATCCAGAACTTCAGAGTTCTCAAACTATTTTGTGCCTCCTTTGATTCTAAGGCAAGAATTCATAAATTCCAAGGCCATAAAATTCCAGGCTGCATGCTCAGAGCTTCAGATGTATTTACAGAAAACAAACAACTGAGGCCCAGAGAAGTGGACTCACCCACCTGCAGTCACACAGCCTGCCAGAAGGATTTGGACCCTGACTGATGGGGAATCAGCAATGGCTCCCTTTGCATTGAAGAGCCTAAGGTTCTGGGACAAAAGTCCAGTTTCTTCTACTTTTCTGTCTTTCTTTCTTTCCTTTTTTTTTTTTTTTTAGACAGAGTTTCTCTCTTGTTGCCCAGGCTGGAGTGCAATGGCACAATCTCTGCTCACCACAACCTCCACCTCCCAGGTTCAAGCGATTCTCCTGCCTCAGCCTCCCTAATAGCTGTGATTAGCTACCACACTTGGCTAATTTTTAGTAGAGACAAGGTTTCTCCATGTTGATCAGGCTGGTCTCAAACTCCCGATCTCAGGTGATCCGCTCACCTTGGCCTCCCAAAGTGCTGGGATTACAGGCATGAGCCACCGGGCCTGGCCTCTTTTTCTTTTTGACACAGAATCTTGCTCTATCACCTGGGCTGGAGTGCAGTGATGCAATCTCAGCTCACTGAAACCTCCACCTCCTGAGTTCAAGCGATTCTCATGCCTCAGCCTCCTGAGTAGCTGAGATTACAGGCATGTGCCACCACCAAATCGAGCCTTTTTTTTTTTTTTTTTTTTTTTTTTGTATTTTTAGTAGAGACGAGGTTTTACCATGTTAGCCAGGCTGGTTTCAAACTCCTGGCCTCAAGTGATCCACTTGCCCCAGCCTCCCAGAGTGCTGGGATTACAGCCATGAGCCACCGTGCTTGGTCAAAAAGTAGGGTTTCTAAGACAGGAAGCTTGAAAATAATAGCATGCACTTATTGAACGCTTACTTCATGCCTGGCAACTTACATGCACCAGCTCAGCGAAAGCTCACAAGAATCCTGTCAGGTCAATGCAGGCATTAGCTGCGTTTGACATGTGCATTTTCCACAAGTAAGTCGTAGCTTGTGGAAGTGGCTGGTGGGAGTGGGCGTAGTTAAGGGACAGTGGAACCAGGCTGCCTCCCTAACTAACTATTGGGCTTTACTGGCTCTCTGCACCCCGAGTCTGTCAGTGAACATCGCAATTCCCAGCAGAGTCTCTGGTTCCAAACCAGGGATGAGAACTCCTGGGCTCTGGGAGATTTCCTGAGGCCACAAAGGATTTGGTCGAGCACACACAGGGATTTTTCTAGTTTTAGATATGATTTAATTCAAAGTCTCTGCCCGCTCCCGGTCTGTTAGAGGTGCGGCAAGTGGGGGAGGCAGGAACCTCCCCTCGCTGGTCCAGGGGTCCCCCACCCTATCCTGCTGTCCCCGGTAATGCCCCCCTTGGCAGGTCCTTCGCTCTGCGCCCCCAGCTCCAGGCAGCTCGAGAGCGCGGGACTGGAGGGAGGGGGGGCGAGGGGCTGGGAGCGGGGGGCGGGCGGAGGGAGGAACAATGGCCCCCTCCCCTCCCCTGGCCGGCTGGAGGGTGGGGTCTCCCCGCCCCGCCTCCCCGCTCCTCCCCCGACAAGGCGATGAGGTAATCGCGCCGCTGAGAGGCACGCGCAGCCGGTGCCCAGCCGGTTGGTCCCCGCGCCCCTGCCCCGCCGGCCACCGCCCCCCAGCACAGTCCCGGCCCCGGCCGCCCGGCCCAACCATGACCGAGCGGTGCAGCCTGTGGAGCGCCCTGTCGGCCGCCGCCTGCTGCTTCTACCGCGGCTCCTTCGTGCAGGTGCAGGTGAGGGGGCGGCTCGGCCCCCGCCACGCGCGCTGGGCTGGGACCCCCGGCCGCTCCGCCCGGGGCCCTAGAGCCAGCCGGGGAGCTGCAGCCCCGCGTCGCCCTGCAGGGTTGGGTCCGGCCCAGCCGGGCTGGTCAGGGGAAGGGGCGGTGTCACCCCAACCTCACCTCTGGGCTCCCAGGAGCTCCGCAGGGTGAGGGTTCGGCGACCACTCCTGGGATTCCGGGCTGCGGGGTTTGCCGGTCCGGTTCTACCTCCTCCGCAGCAGGGAGAGAGCTGGGAGATGGGGTCTCCTGCGCCCTGCTTGTCCTCTGCCTGGCACGCTGGCCCTTGCGGCTGACCCAGGCACCCTGGCTCCCCATTGTACCGGGGACGCTGGGCTGGGGACTGAAGGCTGAGTGAGGAGCAGGAAACGCGGGGGATGCTTCAGGTGCCAGGGTTGGGACCAGAGCGCCCGCCACCCTCCCACCCTCTAGCTGGGCTCGGGCATGCCCGGGGCGCGGGTCTCTCCTAGCCCAGCTGGCGGGCAGCGCAGGACGGCCCAGCGGCGGTGAGAGGGTTAAACGGAAGGGGGTGGAGGGGAGGACCCGGACCCCGCCTCTCTGCGGAGCATCCTTTGGAGACAGCTTTGCTTGGGGTTGGGACGCTGAGAGGAGCTGGAGGGGATGCTGGGCTCGCGCTGGCGGGAAGGGGTTAAAACACTGTCCGGGGGTCTCCGTCCTCCTGCCCCTGATCCCCCTGGGAGAAGCCAGGCAGGTCCGCTCTGCGCTCCCCCAGGCTAACACACGCGCGCTGATCCCGCCTGAAGGACAGCCCCGCCGGCAGCGGAGCGCAGCATCCCCGCACCGGCCAATCAGGCGCGCGCAGGCCGGGAGGCGGTGAGATCATCTCTGGCCAATAGCAGGGCGCCGAGCGCAGGGATGCTGCATTCGCACCCCAGCACCCCCAACTCTAGGGAGCTGGGGCCCCAGGTCGAGGTGAGATGAAGGCACAGGGACTCTAGGGTACCTCACCCTCAGGTGTGCAGGAGGACCAAGTTGGTCCCCCCACACTATCTGGAAGCAGTGGTTAAGCTGGCAAAGGGGAGCCCAGTCTCCCAGCCCCCTTTAACGGATGAGGCTGCCCAGGCCCAGAGAGGGGAAGTGACTGGCTCAAGGTCACACAGTGGCAGCCTTGGGGTGGGTTATTCAACACCCAGCCTCCTCCCTCCTTTGCCCGTGTCCCTCTAGCTCCAGCTGTGGAGCTGGGGGAAGGTGTCAATCGCATGCTCTTTGTCAAGGAGGATACCAGAAGTCTGGGGTCCTGGTTCTCTTTTTCCCTGTGATGCCTACTCTTCCCTCCCCAGGGTTTGGTGTGATATGAGGAAAGAGGACTAGGCTGGTGTGAGCATCACAAAGTGAGAGGGAGAGAGGCCAGGGACCCCCAGAAATAGGGAACCCCTTGGAGAAGGGTAAGTGGCTGAGAAGGCCTGGATCCTAGCTCAGCCCTGGGCCTCTCTGCCCTTCGGGGACATCAGTTTCTACCAGGGGTGGAGGATGTACAGAATTCCCACCCCCAGGCTCCGCCTTTCCCCTGAGCACCTGTGCAAACCGCCCACTCCCACCATCTGTCCCCACAGCCCTGCAGGCTCCTCAAGGTCCACATTTTCATGGGCCCACCGCCAAGCTGCTCCTGCCCCAGGCTTGCCCACTCAAAGCGTGCCCTATCATCCTTCCAGGATCTCAGCATGGAGTCCTTTCTGACTCCTCCACCCCAGTCCCCCACATAGATCAATGGACATCTAAACTCCCCTTCCCCTACTCCCTCTCCCACACCCCATCTGCCCTGCCACTGCCTGGAAAACTCTAGGCTGCTCTCCCCCGGTGGACTAAACCTGCCCCAACATTTCCAAATCCTTCCATGGCTCTGCTGTGGCCTCTGGGTAAACCCCAGCTCCCTGAGGCAGCCCTTCCATACCTGCCCCTACCCCAACAGTCCCTTGGAAACTTCTCATCCATTTCCCCTCCCTCCCCTTCGTTCTGCCTGCAGGGCCCTGACTTTGCAGCTGTCTCCCCAGAAGCTCTTCCCTGCCCACCTGTCTACCCACTCTCTCCACCCTGGTGCTTCTGCTTTGCTCCCTGAGTCCTTCCTCAGGCCTCAGGAAAAGCATCACCTTTTCAGGGAAGTGATCCCTGACTCTGCCCCCTGCCTAGCTTGGTGGTGCACCATTTCCGTCTGTGCATCTCTGGATATTCAGGGAACCTGGAATTGATTGTCAGTGTCTGCAAGGGCTCCCCAGGGCAGAGGCTACGTTGGGTCCTCAGCCCTGGCACAGGACCAGGGTAGGGACTTAGTCAGTGTTGAATGGAGTCAGAGATTCTAGATTATCTCTGACACTGGGAATCGTGGTGTCTTGGGAGCAATGCAGACTGGGGTAAACCCAGGCAGTGTGGGTGTAGAGCGGTGAAGGATGTGTCCATAGAATTAGGAGGCAAGATCTGTGGATGGTCTGAGGAAGCAAGGAGTGGACTGGAGGACCCTTGGACTCTGGGGAGCCAGGGATCCCAGGGAGAGACTCACCTGGAATGAAGGCCCTTTACTGCCCTCCCTCATCAATCCTGCCTTCTGGTATCTGTCTGTCTTAGAGTAGTCATCTTTGGGGTCCAGAGTCAGGGAAAGGAGAGGAAGGACTGTCCCATATCCTCGCAGTGATGAGGATGTCCATGTACCAGTAGTATTCCGGAGTGCTGTCTCTTCATCCTCGTGTGAGGTGAGGCAGGTTCTGTCACTGTACCCATTTCAATGAGGAAGAAATTGAGGCCCAGAGACCTCACACGGCACAGCCAGGATTGGGCTGGGCTCTGGCGGGGGTACACCTGGCACTGGGTACTCCCCTTCCTCTGTCCTTAGGGCCCCTGGGATCCATCAGCCTCCAAATTGAGGCCACAGTAACCAGAAGTCTCTCCTGGGCCAGGTGGGAAGGTGGAGTACTGGGCATCATTTCCTTCAATGGCCTTGGGCTTCCTTGCTGGGCTGTGATCTCCCCATCTGGTGAGGATTGCTGGGGATTTCAAGGGAGAGATGGCCTTGGAAATTGTAAGGGGCAATGCAGATGTCTGTGTAGGGTCCCCATGTCCCGGTTTATGGTCCCTTCCCCATCCTTGCACTGTAGCATGCATCATCCCAGAACCCATCCTTGTCCAACCAGCTTTGTGGTTTTGCTCATACCTTCTCCAGCAGTACCTGCTGCCTTGCCTCCAAGATTCACCTGTAGAAATCCCCCTCTGACACTTCAAGATCAGTTTGGTGCCCTTGGTGCATAATGAGTGTTTTCTTACTGCCATCTCCTCCAGGAAGGCTTCCCAGATCCCTCTGCCTCACCCAGACTTATTCCTGCTTGTAAAAGCCACCCGGCTCTTTGCCGCTGTCCAGTGCTGTGGTGCTGACTCCACTCTACTCAGAGGCTCCCATTGCTTTTGCCTCTTCTCGGCCTAGGCGCTGCCTTGAGGGCCGGGCTTGATTTATGTATCACCACACCCACCCCTGGCATATAGCATAGGATAGCAATGCAGTTGGCATTGTTTGGTGGAATGAATTGAGATTTCTTTACTCTTTCTGGAACCCACGGAAATGGACCTTTCTGGTACCTATGCCTTAGTGCTCCCAGAGTCCCAGGAGAGGAGTTCACCCAGAGTAGAATGAAGTTGGGAGGGCAGGAGGAAGGGGGCTTTAAGTTGGATGCCAACTTTTGCTGTCTTCCCCCCAGTTCTCCAAGGAGAAGTACATCCTGGACTCATCGCCAGAGAAACTGCACAAGGAATTGGAGGAGGAGCTCAAACTCAGCAGCACGGATCTCCGCAGCCACGCCTGGTACCATGGCCGCATCCCCCGAGAGGTGAGCGGGCCCCAAGCTGGGACTTCAACCCTGAACACTCCCACGCACTGCCTTGGCCAGCCCTAGCCCTGGCTGCAGCCACCTGGGAGACCCTGACCTATTACTTGGTAGATTCAATCAGAATGGACTGGGATGAGGTCTAGCTCTGCCCTTTACTATGTGACCTTGAACAAGTTGCTTCACTTCTCCAAGCCTCAGTATCTACTGCAAAAGGCTTGTTGTAAAAGTTAAATGAAACAATGCAGGTAAAATGTTTAACGTGATGCTTGACACCATGAATGTTGGCCTTTGTTGTTATTATTACTGTTATTGTTACTGGTCTATGTATCTGCTTATTGTACGTTTGCTTAGGGAGTACCAATCTTTGGGCTACTTAGTTTTGGCAAAGTTGAGTTTCTTGGCCAATGTGACTTTATTTTTGTTTTTATTTTTTTGAGACAGAGTCTCTCTCTGTCGCCCAGGCTGGAGTGCAATGGCACGTTCTCAGCTCACTAAACCTCCGCCTCCTGGGTTTAAACCATTCTCCTGCCTTAGCATCCCGAGTAGCCGGGATTATAGGTGTACACCACCATGCCTGGCTCATTTTTGTATTTTTAGTAGAGCCGGGCTTTCACTATGTTGGTCAGGCTTGTCTCAAACTCCTGACCTCGTGATCTGCCCATCTCGGCCTTCCAAAGTGCTGGGATTATAGGTGTGAGCTACCACACCTGGCCCTGGGGTGACTTTATAAGCCACAGACTTAGGCTGACAGATCACTTGTTTCTTCTTTCATTCATGCTGTAATCTTTGCCAAGCACCAACTCTGCCAGGACCTGTGCTAAGCACCACCGATGCAGAGGTAGAAAAGGTGGTGGCTTCTCTTGAGGGCTAATGACCTGGGCGGGGCTGGGTTCTGACAGTCAGAGCCTAGTGGGAGAAATGCAAGAATAGAGTGCCTGGTATGAATATGGGTGAGTCCCAAGGAGGGGACACCGAGGAGGGAGGGCTTTGTGAGATGAATAGGAGTTCACCAGGTGGGACTGGGAGCAGTGGCTCATGCCTGGAATCTCAGCACTTTGGGAGGCCAAGGCCGGTGGGTCACCTGAGGTCAGGAGTTTGAGACCAGCCTGACTGTCTCTACCAAAAATACAAAAATTAGCCAGGCATGGTGGTGGGCACCTGTAATCCCAGTTACTTGGGAGGCTGAGGCAGGAGAATTGCTTGAACTCGGGAGGCGGAGGTTGTAGTGAGCTGAGATTGTGCCACCACACTCCAGCCTGGATGACAGAGTGAGACCCCATCTCAATAATTAATAAAAAAAATTAACAAACAAATAAATAAGTTCATCAGATGGACAAGGCAGGAAGGGTGTTCTAGGAACAGAAAGCAGCTTGGTGCAAGGGCTAGAGGCATGCCAGAGCACTGGGTGGCTGGAGGAATGAGGATGAGGAATTCACTCTGCCCAACCAGAACCCTGAGAAGGGGTAGGTCTGAGACCTGGGTCTCAGATCATGACCATTCTCGCTTCTCCAGACCTTGGGCCTCTGTGCCTTCCATTCCAAGGTGTCATTTCCTCCCATTCCTGAACCTCTGTGCTGCAGACCCAGGGCCTCTGGCTGAGGTGCCCCCTCCAAACCAGGGTCATTGCAACCCTGCTCTCAAGCATCAGATCTCAGATGTCTCTGTTCACTGGGCCCTCTATAA